CAGGAAAAAAAAACTCGAATCTATGCATCTTGAGGTTCGATACAACAATATAAAGAGGGAAATGGGCAACAAAACAAATACATTGGAGCAAATATTGAATGACAACATGGATAAGTGAAGGAAAGAGAGAAAACCTGATTGTATGCAAATTGGAGAAGACATCACGAAGACAATGGTATGAAAACCACAGCGGGAGACCACGACATGGAGATGAGGCCATGTGATCGATGTAATGTGGAGAGGCCAACAAGTAAAGAGAAGATAAATATTATCACAAGAGAAAGGGTATCATGACATACTTTTATATTTATTTGACACATGATATAAGATAAAATGGTTATAAAAGTGTAAAGTTTTGTATTTTTTCAAGAAAGAAGAAAAGTAAAAATAAGTAAGGATAGTGTCAAATAAACCTAAAAAATTTAAGTGTGTCAAATAATCATTTTTCTTATTGTAAAAGAGAGAAGAAGGTAAATTGAGAAATAGAATTCGCGAAAAGAGGATAAATAAGATAAAAATACGAAAATAATTTAAATAAATTAGGGATTAAAAACTTTTATGAGAGACCATTATCGTATGTTTTGAACTTTATTACGAAAATCCTATTATGACAAATATTGAATTACCACGTCACTTATGACATTTGTTCTAATTATTCATTGAGGGCATTGGAGGGAAGAGTTTCATTCATTACAACATTGCACTTAACTGAAAATGTTTGGATTAACATGGTTAATTGTCAAGTAAAATTGACTTTGGCTTAAGTCCAATGTGTAATGCATTATCAATATTTTATTTTGGATAATGAACATGGTTAATAAGCTATTTTCCTTTTCCTTTGTTGATACGTCAAAGTGCAGAGTTTTCCTATTTTTTTTCTTAGATTGTTGTCATCAAAACTCTGTTTTTCTCTTGAAGCTTGTGTTGATGAGAAATAAGGAACTACATGGTTGCGCTTCTGATATGTCTTCCTGCTCTTGTTGACAATTTGTGCAGAGTAGAGTGATCAAACTTTATAGCTGGTTATGGATATCTTTACCGTCGAACAAACACCTCTACCGCACAGCCACCGCCGCCACAAGGCCACTGTCGGGATGAGCCTGCCTCTAAATACAACGTGACACACGCCAAAAGCACTCGCCGCCGCAGAAACACCAGCCGAAAAGCAAACACCAGGGACGGATCTCCTTCTGAAAAGAATGCGCCACAAGCCAAAAACCCTTGCCTCTGTCCCGTGTCACTGCCGCACATGCGTCGCCGTGTCACACCCACCCCGACGCCGTTGTCACACGCTGCAGCAAAACCACTGTGGGAAACTGAAATGGATGCTTAAGTCCGAAACAGTTGTTGTAACACTCTCTTTTACGTTTCCAGATCTCGATTACCAGTGAAAATAGGTCTCTCCTCATAGGAGTTTTTCTTATTTATTTACAACTAACTTCCTTTTTCTCTCACTAGTTAGACAATTACTCAGTTTCGTCTTGCAACATTAAAGTAGGGAGTGGTGCAGATAGAGATTAGTAACGCAACATGTTACTCCATACTCGTCCCCTTACCCACAGTTGGGGTGATTAGTAAGGACTCAATTTTCCACGGCAAAAAAATCACTGATTCATTTTCACTTAAAAGTCATTATTTTTTGGCCACCATGTGAGTCGACCACTGCTATATTAAATATGCGTTAAATAGACACCTCATTACAGTATACCCACTTCTTCCCGCAAATAATGGTACAATGACAACGAAATGTTAATACATATTTTTTTCACCAACATTTTAATATTATACATTTATAACAAAAAATAATAATAAATTAGTAAAAAAATTATGTGTCAAAATGTTATGAAAAAAATCTATGTCAATTTTTTTATTTTTAAAAATGCATTGTCTAGCATATAACGAGAGAGATAAGAGTACTTCATTTTGTTTTCTCTCCTCAGTTTTCTTGAGAAATTGTATGAATATTTCCAAGAATACGAACGCAAAAAGCAATTACTGGATACAAACGACAAAGAAAACTAGCAAATATTGAAAGACAGTCACATGTCTGTATTCACTTATGGATAGAAACGACAAAGAAAACGAGGAAATATTGAAAGACAGTTACATGCCTGTATTCACTTGAATTCAGACAAAAACACGGAGCAAGAGAATCGGAAACAAAATTCTGAGCTTTCAATTCACAGGAAAATTCTCTTCCTGCTATGCTATGACTAGCTGGAGAAGAAGACAGAGAAATCCACAGGGCACGAGCTTCCAAAAGGTAGACGGCATAATAAAAGCAATAATAACAAAAGAGTAGTATGAGAAAGTGGGTGATCATAATCTAACCAATGAATCAGCGGCTCGAGGGGGTTTGCTTCAAGAATGCGACAAACTGTTTAACGAGATCCAAGGAATTTTGCTTAGAGGGCTGAAGAAGATGAAACACGTGGTCTTCTCCGGGGAACTCCACCTTCTCCACCTCACCCTTCCACCCGCTTTTCTTCAGCGCCTCGTAATAGCTTATCCCTCTGTCCCTCAGAAAATCTTTCTCTGACACGAAGATCAGCAACCTCGGACACGCCAGATCCGATAGTTTCGGATCCAGCGGGGCGTGGATCATCATGTTGCTCGGTCCTTCGTAGGTAGGGTACAGATACTCTACCAGCTCATCCTTTTTATCGTTCCCGAAGAATGGGTGGAGCAGCACCATCCCCTGGAGGTTCAATCCCGAGAACCCCTCAGCACTGCCTCGCATCGCCACGTTGTGCGCGATGTTACCGCCGGCGCTGTCACCGGCTATGAACACGTTTTTTGGATCGCCGTGGGCGTTGAGCCAGGGCTCCGGGCCGGAACCGGCAGCGTGGGAGGCGACCCACAGGAAGGCCTCCCAGGTGTCGTTGTAGCCGGCGGGAAGCGGGTGCTCCGGGGCGAGGCGGTAGTGAACGGAGGCCACGATAACGCTGGCGCCCGCGCAGACTGTGTTAAGGTGGTTGTGGTAGGCGGGGTTGAAGGGGGTGCAGACGCAGAAGGCGCCGCCGTGGATGTAGACGAGAATAGGGAGTTTCTCGGAGGAGGAGGAAGCGTTGGAAGGGAGGTAGAGGCGGACGGCGACGTTGGTTTGGGGGTTTATGGTGACGTCTTTGGATTCAACGGCGGTGGTGGGGTCTGTTCCGGCAGGAGTGGTTTCGGTGCCGAGGAGACGCTCGACGCTGCCGTCTTTGTAGGCGCGGAAGAGGTGAGGAAACTCGCGGACAACCTCGCCGGGCTTGATGCTTGGTTCCATTGCAGTGATGAGAAAAGATGTAAGAAAGATGGAACGAGAAAAAGTGTGAAAAAGATGGAGAATATGTGAGAGTTTGGTAGCAATGAATAAAAGAGAAAGGGTTGGCAGAAACAACCGAAACTGTTGATGGTTAGAAACAATGCCATAAAGAACGGTTTAACTGATTTCTAAAATTTACACAATTTATAAGAAAAAGATATTTTGAAACATATTTTTAAAAAACATAAGACACTTTTTTTTTTACTTACTGTACTTACGTATAATAATTTTAACAAAAACAATTCAAATATGCATTATATTAAAATAAAAAAATATACTTTTATAAACATAAATTTTTTAGATTTATTTAACATTATTTCTTTTAATTTTTTATTTTAAAAAACTATATAAAAATTTACTTTTTATGATTATTTTATTTTTATATTATGTATTAAATGAAAGTAAAAATATGTTATCATATCATTATTTATTAAAATAATATAAAATAATGTATTCACGTGTCATTGTACAATACATAATTTTTCCTCCTTTACGTGGTCCGGCGCACATTCATTATTCAACGTTGTTTCAACCGTTTCGTCTGTTTAGGAAATTATCATGGAAAACACGAAAAAGAAAAGGTTATGACTTTCCCTTCTAAATACCAAAGAAAAGTTACGAAAGTTTATACATAATTATGTTTCTAAATATTATATTATATTTATATACTATAAATGTTGATTAATAGATTGAATTTTTTAATAAAATTAATGTTACTAATAACTTTATTTTAGAAATAAATATTTAAAATTATAAATGAATAAAATTAACAAATTTCAATGTTAATATCAAGTAAAATAATTTATTCTAGTGTATTTCTATTTTAAAATATAATTATTTTATATATTAAAAAATTTTAAAACATTTTTATTTTGATTTAAAATTTATGTTAATTTTAGGTTTAATACCTCTTTTGGTCCCTCGAAAGGGGGCAAATGTTCAATTCGGTCCTACCTTTTTTTAGAAGTTCAATGTGGTCCCAACTTTTGTAAAAAGTGTGCAATCAAGTCCTTTTTGGAAACGGCGTTGAGTTTTTAACGGAGCAGCTGACAGGGTGGACTGAAGTTAGCTACGTGGCTATGTGTGGGTAATACGTGGCTGTGAGAGGGTGATACGTGGCTGTGAGAGGGTAAATGTGATAATATTACTGAGGTTAAGAAATCAGAAGTTAGGGTTTGAGTTGCAGAGAAAGTGGTAATTTGGGATTTATCATCGTGGAGGAAGTGTGTTGAAATCTGAAGCGCGAATTGGATACCGGAAATCTGAAGCTCAAATTGGAAACCGCAAATCAGGTTAGGGTTTATGTTTGATAATTTTATGACATGTAGTTTTTGTATATGTTATCACTGTTGTCGCTTTATAGGGGTTTAAGTAGGGGTGAAAAGTTGTCTTGTTTTGATGGTTGATAGTGGTCCCATAGATATTAGTTTAACTTAAATTAGTGGTCCCCGTTTGCATTTGCAGGGTTGGGGTAGGGATGGGTGAAGACATGTTCCATCACGGTGGGACCTTGATCAAAGAAGTCCCCTTTAAGTATATGGGCGGGGAGATAGTTTATTGGGACGTAGATCCCGATAAATGGTGTTATTTTGGAGTATTAGGTTCACTTAAAGATCTGGGTTACATGGAAGTAAAAGAATTATATTACAATATCCAACATGTTTTACATAAGCTTGATGATGATAAAGGAGCCATGAACATGATGAAGGTGGCTAATTATTTGGGGAAAGTGAACCTGTATGTTGTGCATGGGGTGGACGAACCAGCTATTGTAGAAAATGATGACAATGAGATTTTGTACGTATGTGAAGGTCCAGCAGACAGTGGTGAGGGTAGTGACGTTGGAGGAGAAGCACATGTTGAGGGTGACAAGGAGGATGGTGAGAATGAAAATGTCTGGGAGGAAGACAAGGAGGATGCAGAAGATGTTGAGGTTGAGAATGAGGGATTAGTGGAAGTGCACATTGAGGATGGAAGGGAGGATGGAAGGGAGGTTGAAAGTGAAGAAGAATTGGAAGTGGACATTGAGGAGGGAGGGGAGGTTCGTACTGAACAAGAGGTGGAAGTTGACATTGAGGATGGAGGGGAGGTTCCTACTGAACAAGAAGTGGAAGTTGACATTGAGGATGGAGGGGAGGTTCATACTGCACAAGAATTGGAAGCAGACATTGAGGATGGAGGGGAGGTTCATAGTGAACAAGAATTGGAAGAAAACATTGAGGATGGAGGGGACAGTGATGATGAACCTGGAATGGATGATCTCAGTGGTGATGAGTATGTGGATGCAGACAATGATGAAGAAACCCAACAACAATGCAGGGGTTTGTCAGATGATGATTGGGAGTCTGATATGCTTGTAACTCCTGAAAACAGTTCAAGTGAGGAGGATTACAACGAGGATAGATTATGTATGGGTGGTTTCTCAAAATATACAAAACAGAAGTCCATGGCAGATTACAAGTGGGAAGTGGGCACCATTTTCAGTGGGAAGGAAGAGTTTAAGGATGCTATTAGAAGGTATGCTGTTCATGCTGGGAGGGATCTAAAATTTGTGAAGAATGATAAGCGTAGGGTGAGGGTGCGCTGCATGGGTGGCCAAGGGAAGTGCCCATGGGTAGCTTACTGTGGGTACTTGCCATCACGCAAAATTTGGCAATTAAGGAAGATAATTGATACTCACGGTTGTAGTAGGCAACTTAACATCAAACTAATGAATGCTCAGTGGTTGAGTGAAGAAATAGATAGGTCTTTAGTTGACAATCCTAACTTAAAGGTGAATGATATTCGTACTAAAGCATTAAGAAAATGGAATACAAATGTGTCAATATCCAAGGCACGAAGGGCAAAGTTAATTGCCACAAGACAGCTTGAAGGAGATTTCAAAGAACAGTATAAAAGGATATACGACTATGGACATGAGTTGTTGAGGTGTAACCCAGGTTCAACAGTGCAGATTAAAGTTGACTCGCATAATGGTGATACAATCTTCCAAAGAATGTATGTTTGTCTGAAAGCTTGTAAAGACAGCTTCAAAAGTTGTAGGCCCATAATATGTTTAGACGGATGTTTTTTGAAAGGTTATTACAAGGGAGAGCTTCTCACTGCTGTTGGTAGGGACCCAAACGATCAAATGCTACCACTTGCCTATGCAGTAGTAGAAGTGGAGAACAAAGACAGCTGGACATGGTTCTTGCAATTATTAATTGAAGACCTCGGTGGTAGTGAAGTATGTGGGGGGTGCACGTGGATGTCAGACCAGCAGAAGGTAAATATACACCTTATATTCAATTTTAGTTAATGCTTTGTTAAAGGATCTTGTTTTATGACTAAAATTATTTGTGCAGGGGTTGGTCCCAGCTATCCAAGAGCTTCTTCCTGGGGCAGAACAAAGATTCTGTATGAGGCACCTGTATGCAAACTTTAGAAAAAGGTTTGGTGGTCAAATTTTAAAAAACCTGATGTGGACAGCTGCCACAAGCACATATCCACAGGCTTGGGAGAGAGAGATGCTGAAAATTAAAGAAGTCAATATTGAAGCATATAAATACCTCATAGCCATTCCCCCGAGGTAACCCATTAGCCATTACATACAATTTACTGTCCCTGATGCATTGTAACCCATTTGAGTGTGCAACAGGTTTTGGTCAAGATCTCGCTTCACAGGTCAAGCAATGACTGATACACTAGATAACAACATCAGTGAAGCTTTCAACAGTGTTCTTATTCATTCAAGAGGAAAACCTATTATAACCATGATGGAGGATATCAGAGTTTATCTCATGAAAAGGTGGGCCACCAATAGAACCAAGGTGGCATCTATGGAGTTCACAATATGCCCAAAGATAAAGAAGAGACTTGAGAAGGAATGTAATCTGTCAAGATATTGGGTGCCAAGGTAATATAACTCCATTTATTTTATATACAAGTTATTTATCTACATTGTTGATGTGCTTCATTTGTTTCAGCTGGTCTGCACGAAAGATTTTTGAGGTTAGGCATACTTCTTCAGTTGGGAACAAGTTCACACTGGACCTGGACACAAAGGAGTGTAGCTGCAGAAAGTGGATGATTAGTGCCATTCCATGCTGTCATGCAATTGCAGCAATGAACTTCTCCAACGTTGATCCACAGACTTTTGTCCCCAATGTGTTCACAAGATCCACCTATGAAGAGGTCTATGCGTCCATCATTTTTCCACTCAATGGCCACCTACTATGGGAAAAGACAAATTTCAATGATGTACTACCACCACTGATCAGGAAGATGCCTGGGAGGCCAAAGAAAAAAAGGAGGTTGGAAGCATGGGAGCTAACTAAAGATCAGACTCAAATGCGTGTTGGTGGCCATAAGAAAAAATGTAGTCTTTGTCGTAACATGGGGCACAACAAGAGTAACTGCCCTTTAAAGCCCCAGCCAGTAGAAACAACACAACCATCACAGCCACCTCCAAGTTCACCAACCCCTGAACCATCACAGCCATCTCCAAGTCCCCAATCACCCCGGCCAACAAAATGCAAAGTCAGAAGAAAACGTACTTAGATGCAAAGTCAGAAGAATTGTTATTAGATATTTAAATTTTGTGGTGCTGTAATATGTACTATTTCTTACATGGTGGTGTAATACATACTTAACGTACTTACTGAACTGATTTTCTGTATTTCTTTTATGTGTCGTAATGAATGAAACTGCTTTTATGTATTTGTTTTATGTACTTGTTTTATGTATTTGTTTTATGTATTTGTTTTATGTGCCAATATTCAGCATCATATGCATTATTTGGTGACCTTGGTGAACAGTTTTAAAGCAAATGGGGGACTCATTTCAACATTTTTAAAACATCAGGGGACTGATTTCAACATTGTTAAAACATCAGGGGGACTGATTTCAACATTGTTAAAACATCAGGGGGACTGATTTCAACATTAATCACTAAAATTTACTCATTAAAATAGTCAATACGTAATACATTGAATTGCATAATTCATCTTACACCTTACAATCTAACTAAATGAACCTAGACAGAACCTGAACAAGGCACACCACAATACACACACACAAAGCTACAACTAAGATCTTCATCATTTTCTGCAAGTCCTGCACTGATTTTTCCAGCTGACTTATCCTCCTCACCATTGTGCAATCTTTTTCATCAACTTTCTCTTCAACACACCACTTGAAAAAGTTACACGAGCTGCCAATTGAAGATCCACCCTGTTATTCACCAAGTTAGGGAATCTATCAACAAATGCATCAATTCAAAAAAACTTTAACTCAAAAGGGTATACTTCAAACCTTGTAACGTGGACAACCCCAGAAATTTCTCCCAGCATTCTTCGTAGTTCTCGCCACTTTGGTTACAGCAACATCACCACAGTAACAAGTAGGGATTATCCCACCTCCTCTCACACCACAACCATGGGACCACCCAGAAGATTCTTTGCCCCAACTTCTCGAACACGACGAACACCCTTTAGAAGAAGCCATTCGTATCTCAAATTACCAATTTCTCTGCAACTCAAACCCTAACTTCTGATTTCTTAACCTCAGTAATATTATCACATTTACCCTCTCACAGCCACGTATCACCCTCTCACAGCCACGTATTACCCACACACAGCCACGTAGCTAACTTCAGTCCACCTTGGCAGCTGCTCCGTTAAAAACTCAACACCGTTTCCAAAAAGGACTTGATTGCACACTTTTTACAAAAGTTGGGACCACATTGAACTTCTAAAAAAAGGTAGGACCGAATTGAACATTTGCCCCCTTTCGACCCTCTCACAGCCACGTATTACCCACACACAGCCACGTAGCTAACTTCAGTCCACCTTGGCAGCTGCTCCGTTAAAAACTCAACACCGTTTCCAAAAAGGACTTGATTGCACACTTTTTACAAAAGTTGGGACCACATTGAACTTCTAAAAAAAGGTAGGACCGAATTGAACATTTGCCCCCTTTCGAGGGACCAAAAGAGGTATTAAACCTTAATTTTAATTTAATTTAAAAAAGGAATTTAATACTAAATTAATTTTAAAAATTTACTTTATAAATTAAATTTTAAACATATCAATATACAATTAAATCTATTCTATTGCATCTATTAAATCAACTACAAACACCTTCACTAGCCCATTATGCAAAGGTGGGTAATTAGTTTTTAATTAAATTTTTTCAGAAGTTCCTTGAGTTACTTTGATTTATTTTTGCAAAATAAGCTTATTTAATTTTTTTTTACCTAAATAAGTATAGTTTTGCATTAGTAAACAGGTCTAGTCTAGTGTGACACCCAGGCACTGACGAGGGCGGGGAGTGATCGCCGGTGCAAGAGGCATGGTGCAAGAGGCATGGTGCAAGAGGCATGGTACAAGAGGCATGGTGCAAGGGGCACTGACAAGGAGCGACTCTTGGCAGGCTTCCAGTGGAAGGGGCACATGGACGAATCGAACATACACCGGAATGAGAGGGATCTAGAGACTGTATAGGTATGGGACTATATAGTTAAAGGATAGCTTAAAAGGATTGATTTGGCTACTCATATCACCAAATGCATTTGCTTTTCGGTAGCCTGACCCATAAGAACTCCATGGTTAAGCGTGCTTGGCACTTAAAGGGATTGATTTGACTACTCATATCACCAAATGCATTTGCTTTTCGGTAGCCTGACCCATAAGAACTCCATGATTAAGCGTGTTTGGCTAGTATAATGTGTAAATCCAAGAAGAATCTCAATTCTTCTCTTCGTTTTAAACTCATTTTACATTAGTTTAGAGAAATCTTCAAATGTGTTCATTCGGAACACAAAATATAATATTGTATTCATAAATATAATAATCAAATAAAACGGATCGCCTTTGTCAAATCATGCTTATTTTTGTTCTTTTAAAATATATTTTTTTTTGTTAAAAAGGTGTAAGATCCGAGAAAATTTAGAGCTGGCAAATAAAACTTGAATATGCTTTATTAGAATCTACATGAGTTCACAAGGTGTTGTGTAATTCAGTTGGTGTGCAAGTCTTGAATAAAATATAAATTTCTATGTTATTTATTTATTTTGTTGATATTATAGTGTAACACATGTTATTGTATGGTTGTTAAATTTGTGATGCCTTATATTTTTAATGTGATTTGTTGACTTGTTGGTAGAGATGTTGTCTAAGATTGAATGGAGGTGGATTCAAATCCTAGGGAGAACCTATGGAGAAAGGTTTATGTGAAACCTTTGTTTGATTTTATTTATATTTTGCTTAAGGACAAGAATGTTCTTTCCATTTTTTTTGTAATTGAGGTGTAGATATTATAAGGTGTAGGAAGTAAAAACAAGTACTTTAAATAATAAAAGTTAAAAATAGAACGTAGAATGTAGAAGTTATATTTTAAAAAACTGGTTGAGATGATATAGGAAACATTATCTAGGCAGTTACCTTTAGATATATTTTAATTAAAAAGAAAAAAAGTTTATGAAATTATAAATAAAAAGAGAGGAAGCTAAAAAGAGGAACTAGAGAGGAGAAAATAACTTTTAGATAAGATAGCAGAAGCATGAGAGTTTGTGATTGACTAATCTGGTATCAATAAAGCCCTATAATTAGCTAAGGTATGAAAAACTCACATTATCTTCATGAGTATGAGAAGCTAATATGATGTGTGATTATATACGTGATTGACATATGTTTGATTATATATGTAATTATTAGTATAATTTTAAATACTTTGGTCTGTGATTATGATTTTAAAAATTTAAATTTCACTCGTAATCGGGGTGTTATATTTGGTATCAGAACCAAGTTTTCGAAAATATTTTGGAGTCTTGGGAAATGAGCTCGTCTAGTTTTTGTTGTGTATCTCTATGGTTGTGTTAGGTATGATTATATCGTGGTGTTATGCTTGATTGTTTATTGTTTGTTATTTGAAATTGTTTTGTTTCTATGTAGTATGAATTTAAATTGTATTGATGAACTGCTTGAATTTGTTTTATGTCAATGATATTACTATATTTTGGTTGTTGCTCTAGTAATGTTATAAGGTGTTTGGGGTTTCTGAAGAAGACATTAATGTCAATTAGACTATCTTGTTATTGAGTTGGAGTGTTAATCATTTTGTGTGGGATTAAACCTGTGATGTTGTCTTGTTTTCTTTAGTACGAGTGCTCAATATTTCACAGTGAATGAATATGATATACTTTAGTGTTTTGTAATTATTCTATGTAATGCCAATTAGTTTATAATACACTCTTAAGTCTCGACAATTTCGATCAATTTTAAAAGTTGCCCTGTGTTTGTCTGCGGTGCAACTATAATAATTGTTATGATGTCTTAATGTATAATTGTTTTAATTTCTATAGTGTGGTATTGTTAATGATTCTTATTTTATTTTTTATTTTATTTTTTATGATGAAGGTTAATTTTATTGTTGTTCAATCAAAGTGTTATTATTATTATTATTATTATTATTATTATTATTATTATTATTATTATTATTATTATTATTATTATTATTATTATTATTA